ATAGACATTATCACTTTACACAAATCTAGGTGTACATTTAGATCCTGAATGAGCAAGACAAAGATGATAGAGGCAAGGAAAAACTCCCTGAGACAATATGAGGAAGAAGCTTTGAGAGGAACCAGACTCCAATGGGAACTCTTCTGGGTAAATTATAAATCATTAGTGTATATGGGTGTAGAGGAGTCAAGGCAAACAGTACTAAGTGTGTTGAAAGGATGTTCACTATGAGCAGATTGTGAATAAAAGTCCTGGGATAAGCACATTTTTTGTACTATTTGTATAGTTCTATTTGCTGATCCTGGTTGCTCAGTGACAGGAACTTGATGGTCTTCACAGTTCTTTTCCTGGCTGATGGTGCAGCATGTTGCTATGGGTGATTTATCTCTTTCTGAACCAAAACCAAGGATTCAGGGTGATTACATCCACAGATCTCACATTAATCCCCGCCCCCCCCACACACACACGCACCCCACCCCCCCAGAATTATGTGTTTGTCCTCGAAACAGCCCCGGAGACCATTAAATAGTGAACAATGATGAACATGCTACCGCTTCGGCCCATACTCATGTAAAAGTCATTTAAAAATTCAATAATGTTCTGCTTTCGAAGAGGGCCATAAAAGCGGAGGTGCAAAAATTCATGTTCTGACATGATGTCGACTCGCTTGAAATCGATGCACTGGAGGTGATCATTAGCGCAGGCCCGGCGTTGGTGGAGACATAGTGCTGAGAGCCATTGAAGAAAAGGCGCGTGGTTTCCACTGATAACCCGGCAATTTACTGTTCAGTGTCATGGAGATGACTGCAGCCCTGTATCCCTATCAGGAGAGAAAACTGTCCTCGCTGTGCATTAATGCACACAGCTAGCGCAGTCACACTCTGGTTTCTCAGAATGCAGCATGTGCAGTTTGTCTCATATAAAGGACAAGGCTGTGTGTGTGTGTGTGTGTGTTTTTGTGAACCAACCTTGTCACAACCAGCTAGTTCATCCTCAATGGATGAACTATGTGTTACTTTTTTCATGAATGAAAATGATAAAAACTATGTGTTACTATTTTCATGAATGAAATCGTAAAAACCAGCTGTGTGTGGTTTAGGATTAGGTCTAGAAAATTTGTATTACAGGTAGGTAGGTGCATACTAGGGATGCAACCGATAATGTGTTCTAAACAGATATAAATAGAGATTCAAATAGGAAGTGCACTATACGCTTGCCAGAAAGGTTCACAGGGCATGTGGTTGAGGCTTGAGGTGTGCTTCAGGATGCTCTGGGATGCCAGAAAAACAGGATTAAAAAATAAAAAATAAAAACCAGACCACATACATCACTAGTTGAGACCAATTATGAACTCGAGTGATGTAGCTGAGGTTGAGGAACTTCTCCCCTGTGTTTTCCAGGGGCACAGTAGAAGGGTTAAATCTGTATACATATACGGATATTTGGAGCAATAAACAGGTGAAGATACAAATTGTGTCACTGCATAACCTCCCTATTTCATTTAAAATATATTGTTAAAATGAAAACAAGTCATGCTATATCTTATAACATACATAAAAACAGACACGAGAGTTCAAAAACAGCTATTCTCAGAGAAAGGCAAACAAAAAAACGAATGTTGTTGTCCTTCCTTATCAGACATGGCTTGATTAACTAGAATTATTTAGCATCCTTGAACAGAAGGTCAGACTGTCAGTCTACTGAGGCCACACACACACTCAATGCCAATCCATTAAAAACAGATCAGAATGGCTTTGGTTCACTATCACTGGGAAACTGATGCAAGGAAACCGACACAGGGATTTCTTATAGGGTTCAAGCTGGTGTGTGTTACTGAAGATAAAATATATATTTTAATATAGGCTCTAAGTATTTTCATCATTTTGGGCCAGTATTCCAAAATGAAACTCTCCCTTCCAGTGGGGACTGTGGATTCATTTTGTTTTTATTTAGCCCTAGGCTTACTTATGATCTCTATATAACACAGATTGAATGTAGACATTGGATTTTAGGTTGTGTTTGGTCGAAACTGTCAAAAAGAAAATAATTCCGCGGGAATTCATGTTTTAACTTGCCTGAGAGTAAGTCGATTTTAAATGCTACCCAGTAACAGTCTTGTTGGAATCAAACAGTAAATCCTTCTGGGAAGATCGCCCAAAAATGAATGTTTTTTTTTTAGAGGAGCAAAAGCACACTGTAAATGATATATGACACATCGAAGTAAACCTTTAGGTGTATGATTCTTTTACACTTTTAATTTAACAGCATGGTTTTCATGCTACTACTACTACTACTACTACTAATAATAATAATAATAATAAAGCATTTTATTTATATCATATTTAAAGGTGCGGCTTGTTTTAAACTTTGATACCTCAATCACAAAACTGCCATGCAATACAATAGAAAAAGATTTCTGTTTAAAAGCTTCTGTTTAAAATTTTCCAGCCAGGAAACGACTGTAAATCATAATACAAAGAGTAAATTAGCTGAGATAAAAAGCAGATTATAATACAAAGACTGAAAATAATTGTATGCAGTGGTATGTGCAGTAAAGTAATAGAGTATTTCAAATATTAGCAAATACAGATTGTGGGCTCACCAGCCAAAACCGTTGTAGTAAAATATCTTGAAAAATACTTTGTCTAAGTTTCTCGATATCAGTTTGTGGGGTTGGGGGTTATTTTGGGTTTGAATTCCCCTGAAATATTCATTTATTCATGGGGGTTAACACAACACACATATGGCATACTTGATTATACAGTATGCATGTCCAATAACATTGTTTTGTGCAGTAAGTGTGCTATAATGATGTTCACCATTCCAAATTTATTTGTATAGCACTTTGAACAACAGACAGTGTCACAAAGCAGCTTTGAAGAAATAAATACATTCAAATTAAATTAAATCAAAATAAATTGTAAATGTGTGAATTTATATTTAACAGGACTACCAGTTGTCCAGTTGTTATGGTGATAAACAGGATTAACCAATCAGGATCCTGCATTTCTTTGAAAGCTACTAGCCAGCTAACTACACGCTAAGCTCAGGGATATCGAGGTGACCGCCAATGAAGTACTGGGATCATCTGAGTTTGAAAATTTGTAATATATATATATATACTCCTTCACTTTCATTGAATAAGGGAAATATTAAACTATTAGAATAACCTATTGGGCCATCTCAGTATGTTGATATATTAAAATAAATTTCAGGGAATATGAAGGGAATATCTTGCAATGAATAAGTAGCATGAAAAACTTTTATATCTCTTTATTTGTCCCCAACTAAATAACAAGTGATTGGGCAAAAAAAAAATCCTTGCTCAAAAGCTATTTTTCATATAGTTATTACATTAACATAAAAAGCACACATCTTGGCCTCTTAATCTTTAGAGAAAATGGCATCAAATCTATTAGGATTTTAAAAAGAAATATGGTTACAGTTTGCTTAATATTCCTCTTCAATTTTTAATACCCAAGTTTTTTTTTTTTTTAATATTGGCACTATATTATTTTCCTAAGTATTTGTAAATAACAGGGTTGCTACAGTGTTAACAGGGTTGCTACAGTGTTAACAGGGTTGACATTGTTGGGTTTCATGGCATCAAATGAAGTAGTCAACAAAGTAGTCTTTTAATTTTCCTGTTAGTTTATTCTGATATGATATTGTAGTGGTTTAAAATATTTAGAAATGTATCTCGGTTTAAAAGGTTCTGACCAAATGAGAATGACATCGTCTAATACTTTCTTAAAGGCGCAGACTGCAATTGTTCTTTGTTGCACTATGTACATTTGTTTAAGAAATCTCCTCAGAGCACTGCTCAGATTGTACTCCGAACTTGCGTTAAACGGGTTCTCTCTGTTGCAGCTGAAGTAGTTGTGGTTGCTGTAGCTGCCTTCATACGACACGTCTGCTGGGCAGCTCTGCATCGTCTGCATTTTAATCTCTGCTCTCTTTCACTCAGTTCAGAAATGAATAGACACTGAAATCAAATGCAAACATTTATTTAACTATTTGAATAGAATGCAATTGTGAATTCATTTTCTTAATTTACTGTGAATAAACTTAGGCTTTTTTGGTGTGCCAGCCATGGCTACAATGCAAGAGTGTCAACCCTGTTACAAAAGAGCACTAACAGGTTTGACAATAACAGGTTTGACAATAACAGGTTTGACAATAACAGGGTTGACGATGTGGTGAAGCATATGGTGAGGCAGCCCATGTACTTAACAAAGATTTTAATAACATTTTCACATATATTTAATTTTACAAATATTTTATTGTTTTCCGCAGGATTTACATTCCACACGGTTGACGAGTTCTGTTTGTCCGCATGTGTCAAATGTACAAAAACATGTTTAAAAAAGTGACGGAAAAAGAGCTAACTTACCATTCTTTGCATGCTATGCTTCTTTGTAATGAAATAAAGTCACTGCCTTAAAGTTATGTGACTTAAATCAACAGATTAGCACTTCCTGCAGTTTTTATCCCCATCATAACAGGGTTGACAGGAAGTCGAGGACAAGTTTAAAATGATATTTTTTGCACTGTTTATGCATTAAAATATGATTTTTACTGATTTTATGTGTGAAATTAAAGCTTACATTTTTTAACAGTTTTCATTTTTTAAATATTATTTCATTTTAAGATATAAATTGTTAGTTGTTATCCATTGACTAAGCTCAGGGACATGCCATTTTTCTAAGCTTGCAACTTTTGAAAGGATTTAAGGATTAATATATAAAAAAGAAAATATAATATGAAATATTGAGTGTTTTTATTGACAAAGAATATGCAGAAATTGATTCTGCAGCTGGCTTTATGTATTTGACTGACTTTATGTATGTTTTATTCATTAAAATGTCAAAGGGACAGAGATTGTCCTCAAATGCTGAAATGACCCACTGGAGCTTTAGTGCTGGAGGAGAAAAAGAGGTAGATCTGGTGTTAAAAGGTAAGAAGTCATTTTCCCCCATTACTAGAACACTATTATAGGGTCCCTGGAGGACTAGTGGTTAGGCCTTGGCGCTCTCACCGCTGCAGCCCGGGTTCAAGTCCTGGTGAGGGAACTGACCCCAGCCACTAGGCTCGCACAAGACAGTGCACTCTCGGTGCCACTCCCAAACCCAGATAAAATTGGGGAGGGTTGCATCAGGAAGGGCATCCGGCATAAAAACTGTGCCAAATCAAATATGCAGACTAATTATCTGCTGCGGCGACTCCTAACGGGAGCAGCCGAAAGAAGAACAACAACAACTAGAATCCTATTTTAATCATTTCAGAGGAACCATTATAAATGTATTATGTTTGCTACACCTAGTCACGTTATGAATATGGCAAGATTGGCGTTACATTGTGCCTTAAATAATTAAACAAATTCGGAATACCATCACCATCACCATCACTATACCATCACCACTTCTGTACAGATCACACACTGAATTTATTTACCATAATCCTCACCCAAATTAACTCCTGATTACATGACAGGATATGTCAAAAATGAGATTGAAAGGAATCCAAACACTGGATTATATTAGCGGAGTGGAGCCAAAAAACACCCAGGAGAATGCATTTAAACTATTCTGCTTTGCCTTCTGCATATGTGTGTGTGTGTGTGTGTGTGTGTGTGTGTGTGTGTGTGTGTGCACATCCGCACCCACTTGCTTCAGCCATGCAGGCTTGTTGCAGCATAAAAGCTGTGTTAACATTCAATTAGGCAACTACGCTCAGTGAAGCATGACATGATGTGTCAGAAACTGGGGTCAGAGGTCATAGTTACTGTACTGAAAGCTATATTTATTGCTCTGCTTCATGCACCAGTCAGCCTTGGGCCACTGAAGCACATATTCCTGGTCTATCTATCATGGATTAACTGTTCCAGTGAATGCGGTACAAGTTGTAAATGTGTTTGGAGAAAATACTGGTTCACAGAAGATGTTCTGCTAACTTAAATTTGTTAGTCCAACAACAAGACATTTTCATCAAACTTAGCTTATTCTGTATATTTATTCTGTATTTCATATGACATTACATTTACATTAAATTTGACAATCTGCATGAAAACATTACCTATTAGGATCAAATGGATGCCCTAACAAAGCTCAGTATTTGCAAAGAACCAAAGCTGCACACTACAGATAATATGCTAATATGCTAATACTCGTTTGACTCCTGGGCCAGACGATGTGAGAGGAGGACCCTCTGGATTGGAATGCATCTCTGCATAGACAGAGAGCCAAAAGGGATGAGAAAGCTCCCTCATCTAATAAGATGAAAGTGATGCATATTAGTAATGGATATTACAACAGGGATTGTGTGGCGCTTTAGCCTGGGCCCATAAGGGAATAGATGATAAGACAGGCAGCAATGCTTTTTTTTTTTTTTTTTTATATTAATTTGGCAGAGTAAGATTGTCTGTATCCTGTCATGACATAGAGCAAATATTCCAAAACTGAAAAGTAAAGAATGGCATGAGAACTTCAGAGAAGATGTGAAAATGCTGAGGTACATTTTTGGGGGAGATCAGCAAGTTAACAGCTCTCAACTGGGATTGTCTTGTATAGTTGTACGGAATGTCAAGTTCAATCTATACATTACCAAATGGACACAGTTTGTTTAAGAAATAGTGATGTAACACAACGACACTATCTGTGTCTGTATCAGAATCTGTTTAGTGCTTGAACTGAAAGTGGGTGTGGCTTAAAGGTTTGTTTTTTTTTTTCCCTTATTGAATGTGAATCCTACCACTATGCCCCAGAAACACTGGGAAAAACCCCAGAGCTGCTGGAAATTCACAAAATATAACACACAGCTCTTTGCAGAACAGCTCCTGAGAGTTCCTCAACCTCAGCTACATCACTCGAGTTCATAATCAGTCTCAAACAGATGCCCTGTGAAACGTTCTGGAAAACTTTCTGTCAAATGTGCCTGAGTAAGCTTCCCAAATCAAGGAATAGCTCATAGTAGATTTTGAAAGTGTGTCAGCAAACTTTTCTGATGGTTCTAGATTTAAACAAACCCCAAAAACAAAAGCAAATATGTAACAATAGCCAACTACAGTAGTTACTTTAGTAATACCTAGATTTTGCAATACCTAGCAATATTTAAATTTAGCTTAGTTTTTGGATTTGTAACAATTGAGAAAGATCGGAAAGGTTCACTGACACACTTTCAAAGTCTACTATAAAGCTGAGACTCATTGCTGCTGCTAGTCAAAATGGGGGCCTTTAAGTAGCACTTCATTATAATGCATGTATGATTTTTTGTTAAAAAGAATTTCCATTTAATAACAATGATGAAAAACATGTACCATGAATGTACAGGGTAATATTTTTAAAATTAATGAAATTAATGTGTGGTCAGCAGGAACTATATGAAGTGGCAGCTCTATAAATATAAGCATATTTCTTTTATGTTTGGGTTTGGGTCACTTTATTTAAAACACATTATCTGTTTATTCCTTATAAGATATTCATATTCAGTTACATCCGTAGTAATAAAAGCAATCCGTAGAAGCTTTACTGGCTCTGTTGTTAGGAGTATTAGGCTTCAGGGATGATTCACAGAGATTACTGACTTTCAGGAGCCACTAAATGCACTAGTCACACTTCCAGGAAGTTTTTTGGCCTCCCGGAAAGAAAGGAAGAAAGATCAGGTGATGCCTGGAATAGTCGCGCATGAGACTTCTCATTTTTCTGCTCTGAGAGAGATCACAGTTTAAATTTCTCCCCTCCTGAAACATCCTGCTAAAGCTAAACAAAAGACCAAAAAAAAAAGAAAACCTGAACCACTGATGCCAACAAATGGAGTATGCAGATCAAGGCAATGTCAAAGTAAAGCTTGCCACGGACCAGGCCAAGGACATCAGGTCGACATTGGAGATGACATCTCTTCCCCTGGGTGGTTTTCTTCTTTTACAGCAGAAATATCATTTACATGATTTAGGCTACAATTTCATGTCTTCAGCAGACATGGAGGGAAAGTAGAACTTAGGACTTGAGAGCCCTTGTTTGTTGATTTTGGTGTGATGCTCCACTAAACTGAAAGCTATTCATGAAGTTCAGTGGTTCCTAAAACTATGAATACCACCTACAGACTGGTGACAAATTAAAGGAAAACTGGTTGCTCAGTATTGCTGTGGGGCCCATTTTTGTAAAACTGGCATGACTTTGGTCTCTTTTCAAGAGAAGCAACACTGCAAATCAATGCAAAGTTCTTCACTTTTATCTTATTTTTTCTTTCCTAACGAGTGTGATCCCTTCCAGGATGACCCTGCCTTCATCCACATGGCATGTCGACTCAGTGGTGTGGATAAAAATGATGTAAATCATATGCTATGTCCTTCACAGTGACCAGATCCCAACCCAATTAAACACCTATAAGATTTTGATTAGATTAGTATTGATTAGATTAGTATTAGACAGTACTCTCCTCCACCATCATCAAAACACTAATGGAGGGAATATCTTTAGGAAATACGGTATTCATCGCTCCATTACTGTTCCAGAGGCTTGAGGAATTAAAGCTGTTCTGGAGGCCTGAGGTTTGTGGTCACCCAACACTTAAATAATACACTTAGATTTTGGTCTTTCCTTTAACACATTTCATTATGGATGTATTCCCACTGCAAGCCCAGTGTTTCCAGGATATGCTCTTGTTCTACTGTAACCCTGGATAAAGCTATTACTGAAGGTGAATGAATGAATGAATGAATGAATGAATGAATGAATTCACCTTCCTCCTGCAGTGGGCAATCTCACATGGGTTTCTTCTCTGTTTCCATATCGAGACTTCACACCCTGTACACTTTCAAATCAATCAGTAATATTTACCTTTCCTCTGTGTGACCCAAGTAATATATCACAAGCTTAATATCAGGATCTCTGCGTCAGCTAGTATCACTGTTGCCCAGAGAAGGATTGGTTCCCTCTTAAGAGTCTGGCTTCTCAAACAGTTTCCTTCTTATGCCATGTTAAAAGATGGTCTCACATTTATAATTCATAGCAATTTGTATGAAAAGTTATAAAGATTAGGGCTGTGGAAGTCATTTGTATCTGCTGTTTTTCTTAAAAATTCATTTGTATTTAATTTGCCTGAAATCCAAACATAGTGCATTCATTCATTCCAAATTTCTAATGAGATCAGGTTGGTCTTATTGTCTCAGCTTGGTAGCTATCAGTTATTAAGATATTAAGACAAATAGAATACAATTCAATTCATTCTCATTGGAATTGGGGCTGTCTATAACATTAATCGTGTCAATACTACCAATGTGGAAATGAGCTTACTGTATTATATTAAATACAGTATAAAACATAGCGAGCTTATTGTGTGTTTTAATTAATTTCCTTATTAATCTATGGGTCTTGAATGAATACCAGAGTAAAAAATGGATTTCCCTGGTTTATGTGTTTGTCTGTCCTGAACATGTCAGCCCAATAAACACAAACATCGCACCTGAAACAACTCCAGGAAGTTGATTTTCTTGGAATGGTTGTGTAAGCTTGAGTGCACACGCTTTACAGTGAGTCTTGGGAATGGCCCTTTGTTAAACTCATTCAATGCTCGAGTGCTTCATCAAATTGAGGGCACGACTCACCAGTTTCTTTGCCACAATATTACACCTGTCTTTCTATTTTATTTTTCCAAAACATGATAGCTTGCATTAGGAGCTGAGCTAAAGTGTTTCTTGCTCATAATACGTTCATAGTTCTCTGATCAACCTTTCTTTGATGTGTTTTGACGGGCATATTTGAGAGGAAAACAGATTAAAACAGGCAATAAAATTCTTAGCAAAGCAGTTCAGCTTGAATCAGTGTTTGACAGCAGTGTTCTTTTTAATGCTAATATGAGATTACACCAGACTTCCAAGGTTTATGCAACTGTTCTCAGTCCCAAATATGTCTTATATATGTTTTAGTCCAGGGTTTATAAACTACACTCCTGAATAATTTCCCTGCTTCAAACACAATTGGGCTTGATATTTAACTTGGATCATGTGTTTGGAACAGGAATGCATCAATACCATTTTTTCTAGGTCGAGTATGACCAAGTATGTTTTTTTTTT